ATAGTACGGATCCAAGGGATTCCGTAGGATCGACGATTCACTTCGTGCGTTCAGCACTCTCGTGGTGTCCTTCAAGACAGCTTCATGCAGAAGCGATGACGAGTCCTCGTCCGGTCGTACAATGACCACTTCGACCAAATCGCCTGCCTTCAAGTGTCAAACTCTTCAAGGGAGATCTCGTCCAGCCCAAGAAGAGCATATACCACAGGCATAGCCTCGAGGCGGACGTCGCCATCTTCTTCCCCGTCATACCGTTGACGAGGATGTATAACTCTGCGCCATCGTCTACGGTAGACACACCCTGGTTCAGGGTCGACGCCCAATGTCTTGCAGCCAGCATACTGCCTCGCCGTCGCCACTGTACAGAGGTTCTATGTCTCGGTGAGACCAGCGTTAACACGCATTCCGCGTCGTCCGGCGTCACCCTCACTGTCCGCTCCTTTGGAGCTCCAATGATATCTACAACATTTAACGAAAAGCTGCTAACCCCGCAGTCTTCGATCAGTGGATAACGTGCCACTCCACACGCCTGAAGGGCCGTGCACATGATGCCTCGGACTCTGTTTGATCACGCCATTAATGACATGCACCGACTGCTTCGCAACGCGAGCAGCGCACGGTGGGTTACGTGCCACTCCACGATCATCCCGCGATCCACGCTTGGATCTCCTGTCCGATTCACCGTTGGTGTCTACCAGCTCGGACATTCCAATGTCCAGCACGTTGACTGTCTCGGTCTTGTGCTCTCGCCAATTGCGCTTTTGTCTCCTATCAGAGGTGGGCTCATGATTCGCCGAAGCTCCACCAGGAGACGTGCGCTTAGCGCCCAAGGTCTTTGACCTCCAATCAATCCATGGGTCATCGTGTTCCATCCATGCCATTCCAAGGATGAGGTCATACCTTGCATCTAAGTCTCAGACTAAACAGCATTCCACGCTATCAATGTCAAGGAACTTGACTTCGGTGTCCGCAGGGAAACGTCGGGACCGTGACACGCGTCTTCGTCGCTAGGCGAACAGTGACGACATCACTCAACCGCGCTTTCAGCGCCTTAGCATTTACAGCTGACTTCCTTCCATCGTGGAGCATCGAGCATAATTGCCCGACGCCCCGGAATCGATGAAGATCTTCCATGACTTCTCAAAGCCCTTTAAGGTCGCCTCCACGACCAGCAAGCACGGCTTACATACATGCTCCGTGTTCAAGAGCACGGGGCTCTACGAAGCTGGGCCCTGTTGACGTATGCTTCCCTAAGGCTCAACAGAGCTCAGTTCCTCCCCAGTACGTCGCCCCGCTCCTACTGGGTGGTGTCGTTTCCCCGCGACTAACCAGACTGGTTGGAAATGGGGCGATGGTTCGAAGAAACCCTACGCGCTTTGCGCAGGGGACAACCGTTTAAAGATGACGGGTGTCTCCACAAACAAAACACCGTCGTGCGTTTGTGTGCTGCCCGACAGCTCGGAGTTCTGCTTCTTCGTCCTCAGCATAGCTGAGATCCATGGGCATAGGCTCGCTCGACGAGCTGTTGGAGTGTGCAGTCCTACCAAGTCGTGCCGACTCGGTATTCAATGCCACATTCAACGCCTTTTTAACCAAAAACTGATGCACACGGAAGACTTCCATTCTGGCCACGCCAGTGTGGAGGCCTTCCATAAAGATGGTCACTGTGACAGCCTCTGGGAGGGGATCTGCTGCCATCCCGGCCATGAGAGTGCGCATCTCTGGACAGAGTCCACCAATTCCTTCTTGCCCTGTCTGGCGGCAAGGAAACGCGATCACACGCGATATGCCTGACGGCGAGAACACTCGTGAGAGCTGCAAATTTAACTCCACCCATGAGGGAAACGCAGCTTCGACCGAAGTGCCGCACGACGGTGTCCATTCTTGCGCTCGATCACCGAGTTTTGAGATGGCTAGCGCCACGCGCTGTTGCTCGGTCTGGAGCATGGCGGACCGATGGCCATCTCAACCTCTCTCGCTCAGAGCAGGAGATTCTCTCCATCCTTCCCTCGAAGATCTTAAGGCTCACCTTGAGCGGCTTAGGGCGCGGAGAATCATCCGTCACTGACGGTGGCGTTATAGACTCAAATGATACAGATATCTTCTGGTGCAGGTGCTCTGGCAGCGTGTTTTCGTAGCTTGAAAACGCCTCTAGACACGCACCAATTGCCTCGGGGCCCTGTTCTGCAAGGTGTTGCACGCCTCAGGACCAAGCAAGGACATCAGCTTGTTAAGCCCATCCTGCATGCCCTGGGGCAAAGAGGAAAATTGATCCATCCTCACAGAGGATCAGTCTAAACGACTCAGGTGTAGATTGATTACAAGTGTTATTCAGTGCAGCGATGCTGCCGTAGCTTTACGCTTTGATGAAGCAAAACTTAGGTCACCGACCATTCGTTCTATACTTAGAGCAAGTAAGAGTTTAGCGGATCGCAATCCGCTTACTTCAAGAGTAATTATTGCCTCAATCCAAGGCTTATTATCTCCTCTGTTTAAATCCAAAAATGTATTTATATATTTTTATCTGCGGCAAAGCCGCCTAATTTTAAATATGTAGATTCTCCTAAAAACATCTAAATACATGCATAACTACTGGCTACCCAGCCACATACCGTATTCTTATTTGGGTGCAGTCACACCATGCCCATCTCGTGTGACACCACCCCTGTTACCAGGGTACGTGTAATCCCGTTTCACCAACAGTCCATTCCCGAATGGCAGTGCGACGTCATTGACGCCTTTATTCATGCAAAGCACGTGGCAGGAATGATGCGTGAAAGCAAGTCTTCCAATTTAACACTAACGTTTAGTGTCCGGAAGCCGAACGGCAAGTGGCGTATCGCCCACGTTTTTTATAAGCTTATGGGTGCCACCATTCCGGCACAGACGCCAATTCCTTGAAAGGATGTTCTTCAGACAATATGGTTGGCTGTACAAAGTCCGGCGCACTCGACTTGGTTTATGGGTATTACCAATTGTTCATGAGAGCGAGTGATATTCCAAAAACAGCGGTGAGCACTCCGGGCGGGATGCTTTTTGGCTGGTGATGCCTCATGGGCTGTCAAATGCACCACTAAAATTAATCTTTCTGTGACGCAGTTGTTCAGGCTCCATTGTATGCACATACATACTCTGACGACATCTCAGTCCACAGTCGTGCAAAGTACGGAATGATAGATGAGGAAAACCACACCGTTCATCAAAGAGCGGTGTTCGAGTGCATGCAAACGAATAAGCTGTATGCTAATGTCGATAAGAGCATCTTCGGCGCGAAAATTCCCTTTTTAGGGGTGCATCATAGGGAAGCGTGGCCTCGAGCGAATGCCACCAAAGTTAAGGTCATTATGGACTGGCCAGGTCCAAAAAACTAAAAGGACTTGCGCAATTGGCTTGGCCTCGCTAACTACCTGCACAAGTGTAGTGCAAATTCTGCGGAAATGGCGCGGCCATTGTCTAATCTCTTTAAGAAGGTTAAGGAATGGTGTTGGGACACCAAGCAGCAAAGGCTTCTGACAGTTTCAGATACAGGCTTCTTCATGCACCAATACTGGCGTTGCCAAGCCCCAATCGTACTCTTAGTGTCGTCTGAGACGCTTCGAAAATTGCCGTTGACTGTGCACTGCTGCAAGCAGACGTCGGGGGGCGAGATCGAGTGATTGCGTTTGACTCTCGCCAGCTTAAAACTGCAGAGAGGAACTACCCAGTCCACAACAAGAATTTACCTGCGATAAAGTATGCACTTGTCAAACTCAGGGTGCACCTGCTTGGCTCAAAGTCTTTTGTAATCTACACTAATCATTCTTCTTTACGCACTGCGACTCAATCGCCTCACCTCTAGCACAGATTTGGCCAAGTGGCTCTCATTCTTTAAAGATTGTAACTTCGAGGGCGTTCGGCTATCCAGAAGCTGAACCAGCAACTGGTGCTGAGCACGGAGTGCACCAACCTCCGTTTCCAGCGGCGCAAGGAGCTCGGTGCTGGGGAACCAGCTGAGTATGTCAACAGCGGACCATCCGCAGACTGATGGTCAGACAGAGCGCGTGGATCGCGTCGTTGACGATGTTCTTTACAGCGTTCACGCTGAGACGCTGAAGCACTATGTTGTCACTCGAGGAGATAGCTCTGAACAATGCAGTGCATTCACCTACCGACCATACGCCGTTCTACGTGAGCGGATTTTATAATCCTAGCGTCCCGCTGACGCTGATATCCCATGGCTCAGGGCTTGATGGGGGAGGAATAGCCTAACTGCTAGCTGATGTCAGCCCCCTCACTGTGTGAACAGAAATCAGAGACGTCTTGGTTACTAGCCTGAGTGTCTTTTGACACGTTCGCGATGCGATGGCTGAAAGCTAAGACATGCAGAAGGAAAATGCAGACGGAAAAGGGAGAAGAGATGTTGAAAGCATTGAGGTCGAAGACCTGGTTTTGCTTCATGCTAAACTTCCTACATATGCAGTTTCTGCTATTTTTAAGACGAATCTGACCAAGCGAAGTCTTGCGTCTTCGCTGAACCTTTCGAGAGGGATGCGCACCCACCCGAGGTTT